TTGAAAATTCGCCAGGACCTAACTATTGCTACTGTTTGTGTTAAGTATACTGCAACAGCCTATAGCTATCTGCAAATCACTCATCCATGGGGAGTTATTAAGTATATCTGAAATAAGGTGACGTTTTCCTCTATTCAATCCACAAACCTCTTGTGATAATAAAGTTAAAACAACCAGTATTCCAATTTTACTGCTGTTTTAAAGTGTCTTAACAGCATTGGTAAACGTTTGGTTTAAGTGTCGTACACATGTACTGATAGCAAGTACATTAACATATAGGCTTTGGTTGCATTTTGCCTTTTCGAGCACTTGCGTTATAAATCTATTATGCCACCGTATTTTAATCTGACAGACTACTAAGTTAAATCAACTCAGAATGAAAAGCAAAGTAACTTAAGTAGCCATTTTGTAAGTACTTATAAAAATCGCCCTTGTTAGTTGTTCACTACAACAAAAGTTGCATAAAATTTACTGTCATATAGTAATAAAACGAGTTTGTCTTATGGCTAATGCTGATACATAAGATGAGGATGAAGACCCTTTTTTACATAATGTCTATATCAAAAGGAAATGTTCGATGAATGTAGGAAGAACATTTCTTTTATTTGGGATTATTGTCTACTTATGTATCTTCTGATGTAGCGTTGAGGATACTGCTTCAGATAAGTTATGTTGCCTGTAGATGGGCAGCTAATAAGTACAATGGGATTAGGACTGACTGGCTGGCAAAATCAACGTAGAACCTCGCACACAGATGCATCGGCCCAAGTTGCTACACACAGTAGTACACAAAAGGCAAGTGGATAAAAAAAGAGTGATATCAAAGAAGATCAAATAGTGTAAGAGAATAAACAGTCTGAAGACAAAGTCTAGTGTGAATGTTCAGGCTTTAGAAGATGTCAAGGAGTGAATGCATCTGCGCCATTGTGACCGATTTTCAACCATGTCACCAAGACTCCTCAACCACTAATTCCTTTCCTCTCTGAAACCCAACTAGGTAGTCTACATCCCCCACACGGTTCAGGCCAAGATTTGATAGTATTCAGTGTTGCTTCATTTCGCTGAGTTGCATGGTATGATTGGAGATTAACCATTACACAAAGTCCCACTTAGTCAACTTAATAACAGTTAACTGGTTTTAATAGCCTTCACAATCATTTCCATCTAATAGTCGATCTCAGTAAATAAAAAATCCAACAACGTTTAGCAGATATTTTTTGCGTACTGAAGGATGTTTTCAGTTTTCTATTTCTAGAATGAACCGTCATATGAATTAGAAAACTGATAAGTGAAATTCATTACATGTTACCAAGAGATGCTACATTGTGTAGTCATTGGCATCCTAAAGTAATTTCTTAGAAAGTGGGAATGAAAAAAGCTAGTGTTCCCTAAAAATAATAACCATAGCAGCTCTTATTTAATGAATTCTGGATAAAGCATTTCGGTTAGGAGATAAACATTCATGATCATTCACCAAATGTTGTCATTATTTACAACTATTTTTACTTGGTTTCATTCTAACAAGTTGCAAATGAAGTTATCTTATTTTTATTTTCTTTAAAGAAGACAAACAACGAAGATTAGATCACACACACTTAAAAAGAGATACTAATGTCAAAATGCTTAAGAGAACTTTTGACTTTCATTCGCATTGCATTCGAACGTTTCTAAACTTAACGCCTACTTCACAAATAGCAGTGAACTATACAGCTATCATTTCTTATGTATATCAACCTAATCATATTGAATTATTAACTGCTGAAAATGCTAATAGTAATGATGGAGTTCACTGCCAGTTATTGTGATTAAAACTTTTATCATCTCAAATAAACCGATACTTTAGTATGTTGCGATTGAATTAGCAGCTGAATATAAATCGTATGGCTTAGCAGCATGTAGCACTCATCTTAAATTTCACAACAGCTGGTAAGCAAAGTATCATCGAGCTGTCAAAAATGACTATTGTGCTGCTGCCTAAAGTGTGAAGTTATAAGACGTGAATATTTTTCGTCAAAAGTCACCGAGCTGCAGTGACACACTGAATCAAAGGGAACTAACGACCAAAACAAGCCAAATTTAGGAGTGAAGTGAAAGAAAATGTTGATTTCGAACAAAACTTATTCAGCTAGAGAGAAACTAAAAGGAATGGTTTATGATGTTATTAACTAAAGACATGAGAGTTCTGAAGGTTAAGAGGTTTCTTTTGAGACTGTATGACTTGAGGTTACAAAACTGCTGTTAGAATTGTGCAGACAATCGACGTGTGTTTATGTTGGTACTTGTATGTTCCCGACCTTGATTGGACCGAATTGATTGGTCTTTATTGAATATCGGCTTCTGCGCGGATCCCACGATATTGCCTGAGATTTCACTTTATATCTATAAGGGATAGTGGTTAGTAGTTGGATCCAGAACGCACGTTTCGTCTGATGTGGGACTCGTCATCTGGGTGTGCCTGCCTCCCAGTTGGCGGTGTTGTTCTCACTGAGACTCGAACTCAGGATCGATCACTCCAAACGTCAGAGCGTTTTCGCTCCAATCAGTAACGGAACAGTACAAGTTCCAGCATAAAAACTCTACCCGTCGTACAAGAAGCGTGTATCGTAACTCAGTGGCCAAGAGAACAATGCTGTGGTGTTTCTGGCGACCCACCATGTGTTCGAGTCTTAGTGGGAACAGCATCGCTCACTGGGAGGCAGGTACATCTAGCTGACAAGTCATAAAGAGGATGAAACCCACGTCCTGGATTCTACTGCTAATCACTATCCATTATGAATCTATGTGTAACTCAGTCTAGCATCTATAAAAACACAGGTTCGGAAGAAGGAAACTGGACAAACAGGAACGTAATCATGTACTATCTTATCGGAATTTGAGGTTAGGCGGATACATCATTTTATGCTCATGAATTCCAAGTTGAATAAGACATGTTGGCATGCATAGATCAGTCAGCATCTGCAGTACAAAAAATGCAGAAATATTCATACAGTAACTCGGAAGCTGCCTTTTCCGCATCATCAATTTATAAGATATTAGACGATGGTGACCAATGAAATCTTGCATCTCAACCTCACGCACGAACTTTAGGTATTTGTTAGACAAGTATTTTAACACTGTATTGTACACGACAAATGCAAAGGAAGTAAGTTAAAGTAAAGCCTACGGACATAAGTGTTTTTATTGGGAAAGAACATCGTTCTTCTTTCCTTTATAATCTCAAGGCAGAAAAATTTTTCTGAAGACATATTTGCTGAATGTCTGGATGTCCCATGTCCCTGTGAGAATGATAAGAATCATGTATCAAACACGCACTCTACTGAAGTAGTGAACTCGAGCGTTTCTGAATAAATGACTGATGATGAATTACTTGGATCCCCTGTTGGTCAGCTAAAACTCAATTCCTGATTTGCAACAGATATTTTAGTATATTATGCTCTTAAACAACATATTTCACTATTTTACTGAGGGTTTTACAGAGTTGTAAATACTCCATGATGTGTACTGACTTGTTCTGAAACTAGGTTTAGGCTTCCAGCTGATTACCCAAAGATATCTAATATCTGAATTACTTTTCTAAACTCAAGGCGGGCCATAACAGCTGAACAGTGATCGTTAATAACAATTCATTAAAATAAAAACGTCAAGCTTATTTTACATAAATGCAATTATATCCATTGATGTACTTTCACCTTCTAAGCATGAACATTGATTTATGTTCAGTCTCGTGATAAATAAATAAATATTGTGTTTCCTGAACTACTTTATTGTTTTATTTCGACTAATACCAGAAGAATCATAAACCAGCCATAACTCGTAGATTGTTTAACATACGTAGTGGGGCACCACTCATAGTAGCTCTAAAGCTACAACTATTTCATTAGTCGATAAACAGGTGAAATCAATGTAGAACCTCACACACTAGTGCATTGGCTCGAGTTGCTGTACTTCACAATGGCATACATAAAGCAAGTGGATAGAAGAAGACTGACATCAAAGTAAACAAAGGTGTATGCGATGAGAAGGAATTCGAAAATGAGAGTTGGTGAAAATATTTAAGCCCTGGAAGACCTCAAATGGTGAATACATGTAAGACATTGCGAGCGATTTCCAACCATGTCAGCAAGAATCTGTAACCATTGGTTTCTATCGTCTCGAAGACCCCTTTCTGGTAGTTTGGATCTCCGTAGACGTCTCAGACCAAGATTGGGAGACCTCATAAATTTGTACCTTGTTTTGGTCTGGTCACTCCGAGCCTTCTTCAATAATATTTAAATTTCTATACACCCATTATTCCTCAAGATGATTTTCACATGAAGAACAAGCTAGTTGGTTCCCATTACTCCTACTTTGACTTAGTTGCTTATCACGTTGACAAGTAGAACAGTATCCAGAACTACTGTTTCTTGAGGTCATGGTAAGCGATGAAGAGCAGTTACAGAGTAGCAAAACCAAGCAAGAATGACGCCAGTATATGTTAGTGAGATAGATTTTGAAGTGACTTCTGGTTTACAGGTGTTATTACTTCTGGAAGTCATATAAGATCTGTTCTAATTTGACGATTACCTTTGATTAACAAATAAAGTTTTTATCATTTGTATGAATGTATAAAAGCAACAATATGTGAATGGTATGGAAAAAGATGTTAGCTGACTTTCACATACATATTCAGTTTTCTTACAGTATGCCTCAGACCTTATTTAGGCTTATTGATGTAGGTGGGCCTGATGCCCAAGGGCAGCACCGAGAGGAATCCTTCTGCATTGTACACTTTGGTCCTAACTTAATCTCACTGGTAATGGCCCTCCAATGCATCCTCAGCTTCATATACATGTGTATCTCCTATTGTAAATCTCATCCTCTTACATGACAGCTGCAGTTTCCTGAAACCCCATTTCAAAGTTGTCATTCCCTGTCAAATTTTAAGGCTTGTCTCACTAACCAGAGTTCTGGTGACCAAAGACATTATCTTGAACTGACTTTAAAAAAGAGATAATCGTGATATGTATTCAAGTTGTAACCGTCATCATTGGGAACTGTTTCAGGCCTCAGAGAACAAAGGCTTCGATCAAGTAAGTTTACTTCAGTGAGTGCTTAAACATGCCTTCAGCTTATCCAGAGGTATGAAAAAGTAAGGAAAATTATCGGATACAAGCAATAAATTTGTGATCCCTCCATGTCCACCTCACTAATTACATTTCGTAAATTTTGAGGGATACTTCATATCTTAAGCAAACTGTTTCTCTCCTGAGTATCTGAAAACTCACATGTTTGTCTAACAATCAGACCAAAATAACAATCACATTGGATGAGCTAAGAAGCAGAGGCCCACCTTACGACTTAAAAATTCCAGCCAAGTTGGAAGACAAAAGTCTAGCGTCAAATCCAAGTAGATCACACTGCCATTGATGATGATTAAAAGAATCAGAAGGTAAACATCAGCCTTGATCAAATATTTGTTAAAACACCGAAACGAGACGCATATGGCATTTATGTAGAAGACACTCAACGCTTGCAAAAGAAGAATAATAGGTGATTCTCAGAACCACTTTTGAGAATGAGAGTAGTAGTGTTGTGTTAGTGAGACAATTAACCCGACTTCCTGGGAACTGCAAATATCTTATCATACAATAGGACCACGTAGTCCACTGTAAAAAACAGTTAAAAAATAAAGGAGCAACCCTTTATCAAGGATTAGATGAAGTTATAATAACTTATTAGTCTCATACAGGCTAATCTACTCTATACAACACATCTGTAATCGCTCTGATTAAAATAAAAACGAGAGAAACTCAAAAGTAGACTGGCTAGATGTTTCAATGATTGTTGAAAGTGATGGGCAGAGAATAGAAAGAGATGAAAAGTAAGTAGGCTAACACAAATAAAATTAAGGTTCAGAGGAAATATCATGGGAAAATACAAGTCATTGTTAGTTTTACGGTAGGTAACTAAAAAAGAGATAACTTACTTCAAAGAACAGTTCATCTGATTTTATGTACTATTCCTTTGTCCATCATCCAGCCATAAACTGAAGGAGACATCAATATCAAATCTCCAAGTTTGTTTGAAGTTGAGAATCTCCTAACAGATACGAGGTATCAACATGTCCTGAAGGATTACTCACAAATATTTTTAAGTACACGAGTTAAGTATTACTGATCTGATTGCCTCAGTTACTGTATGTAGCGTAAGACTTAGATAAAGTTCCTCCTGACTTATTTCACTGGTATGCTTTGAAAAAAAGGATAAAAATTCTCCTACCATAAATCAAATAGTTTCTAAAATCCTAGAATGCATAGCAATCAAGTACCTAAGTAGATGCAGCAAAACAATATCAAGATGATCACACTTTTAAAGACCAGTCAAAGGTAAGTAGAGTGAATTTTACACTTTTTACCTATCTTAACAGTAAAAGTATCACATAAAATAATCTTTTGTTTCAGGACACTTGTAGCCATTTCGATGAAATTAACAGTGAATATATCCAGCAAGGTCAGATGTAGTTTCGTCTCCACGGTCACTAAATTCTGCAGTACTAAGCTATATACTTTTTCAAGTACCTCAAGAAGAGGTGAACTTTCCTTTCCAAGACAAGCGGAAAGTGTCGATGATGTCTACATTTCAAACAGTATTCAAGTCTTATGTAGTCGGCATCGGATTTTATGCTGAATGCATTCATCCTACTAGCAAATCTATGTTTTTTCGATTCCTAGTGACTTCCTGACCAGCGCTAAGAATCGCATTTCACAAAATTTCATCCATAACCTCTTGAAGCCACATTTCAGTCAACATATCAAAGTTCTTAATCGCCGCATAATACATCAAACTAACCAACAAACCTAGTTAACCAAAACTCTAGTATCGAGAGTCACAGATGTATGCAGTGACTTTACGATACATCTAACAGGATTAGATGCCGTTATCCACTAAAGCCTACTTGGTCACTTTGGTGAATCTGTTAGTAAACTTCTTTGCTGTTTATTTACCCAATCACCATATCTGATGCAATATGAATGATCCAGTCTTCAGAAAACTTAATTCATAGAAAAAGTGAAATAAACAGACTCGGAAGTCAGATAAATTGACTTCGATTTTCAAGCTAAAAGAGGTAAGCTCAGTAAGAATGGCTATTGAATATTACTTTCGAAACCTCATGCCAATAAACCAATAGTATCTCTGCATCTCAGCTGAGGTAGAAAAATGGTAACTGGAATTTGATGGCAGTAAGAGAGTAATTAAAGTGAAATGGTAAGACAGATAGTGGAATGTGATAGTTTAACCCATCCTGTGGCAACGTAGTGATGTTTTCAGCCTGTTGTTTATACTTCGTTGCAAACTGTATGTGACATTCCGTTAATGGTTGAGAAAAGCCGGTTGGTCTAAGTTTTTCTTCTCTTTGATTAATAGGATGTGTTCTAACACGGTCCTAGTTTAATGAGTTGCTAAATTAGCCTGAACACATGCTGTTAAAGGCATATGTCGGATTAAAAACGCATTCATTTAGACCTATATAGGAGAGTGGCATGAAAACTTTGGTGTTAGGTGGGACTGTACTGAAAAGATGGTCTAGTGATCCATTCACAACAGATCAATCTGCAACAATGGTAGGAACACATAGAAGAAAAGTTAAACTGACGTACAAGTTACATTAAATTAAAAAGGAAGAATAATGTATTCTAAGGGGCTGTCACTAGAGTATTAAGTGATTGTATCTCAGGATTACTAGTAAAACTGACAAATGGTGAACCTGAGATGCAGGAATTCAGTCTCAGTCGCTGATTATCCAAGTGACAAAATCTTCTCCCCATAAACGCAAACAGTATCCACTAGGTCAAAATAGTCCCCAAAATTCAGCACTCAGGAAACATCTAGTGGTTTATTAGATTTCAGAAGCAGCAAACATGAGAGAATACGGTGCGTATCATATCAACTTGCAAGAGCCTCGAGCAGATTATTACTATACATGGCATACTTGAAAATAAGAAATTTCATAGTCGCTAAGAAACTGCCATACATTTGACTTCAATGTGACAATTGACTCCATTATTCGTAAGGCCTTTCCGTGGTAGTTCCCACCGAAAGAAATGCCTAGCAAATTCGTTGCCATACTATAGGCGCTATGTTCGAATATTTGCAGGTGTGTCAGAGTCTGCGACAGATTTTTCCCCGAAATATTTACACCGATTGTTGTCAGTCGAAGGTGCCTACTTTCTCTTTAGTCTTCGACCTCACTTCATAGGTTCCTATGGATTTCAAATTCTCCTCTTGAGACTTGACAGAGATTTCTCCCCCTTTTTGATATTTCATAGTCAAATTAGAGTATGCAGAAAACATATATCTGTTAGTTGAAGGTGCTGACATGTGGCAACTTTTGAACACCTTCAGTAGTATTTGAAAATATGTAGAATGCATTTATAAACTCCCGAGTGCAAATCGTTACTCCAGGATTCATTTTCATCGGCAGTCTGTATGACAACAAGATGAATAGTACTTGACCACCCAAGAAGTTGGACCATTCCTAGTAACTTGACTGTAGATGAAATATTAGCTCAACTTTCGCTAATTAGCTTCATCTGATCTGATCTATTCATCCTTACGTAGGTTTGAGATGTGCCTGCTTTTCTTGAGTTTACTGTTCTCAATCTCCAATTAGGCATCGAATAACTATGGAGCCTAGGATCTTGGACACAATATTAGTGAAACTAATCGCCCTACGGTTTTCCCAAGAAGATTCATGTCCCTTCTTATAGACTAGGATGATCAGTGTAGTAGATCATTCTGACAGGACTAGCTCTGATTCCCATGCACTACGTAGTACCTCCTTTACTCTACTCAGTGGGCCAGTTGAACCGTGCTTCAAGGTGTTTCGCCCAGCATCCCTTCCTTTTCGGTAACGGTCTCAGTAACCACCTTCCTCTTCTTGCCAGTATCCTCAGTAAGTTTAAACAGGTTCTGGGTGTAACCCAACGCTGATGACTTCTCCATCTCTCTAACTTTCGCCACCCACCACTGCTTGCGGTCATTGAGATGACGGTCGGTCAATCTACGTTTAAGGTACTTGAGCTCTCCGATGTAGTCAGAACCACCAAGAATCAGTCTTCTCACATCAGCCAGTACCGATGAGTTTGCAGAAATCTAATGTCGTTTGCTAACCTTCACGCTTAGGTTATCAACTGTGTTTGAAGATGTTTCTTCAACAATCTTGGTACCACCCAGGTTTTCTCAGTGTGAACATTGCTGTCACGTTCAGATAAAGGCTCTGTAACCTCCTCCGTAAATGAGTACTTAACCATCTAATTTCCCGATCGAGTATAGACAAGCTTCACTTCTCCATGTTTGCTGCGACCAGTAAAGTGTACTAGCCTGTGACTGGAGTCCGAACAGGTAGGTAATCCATTAACAGCACCTATCAACCACCAACTCGCCCCGACGATGGTTTATAGCATTATGATCTATCCGTGTCCATCGTTGGTTTGAAGTCAACGGATGCCATTTGTGACAGTGTCTCTCATTATGCCTAAAGTTAATGCTGCTCAGACACATGCGACTGATTACCAGAACAAGATTGCAACAGATAGTCACTACTGTTGGTTTACGATATGCGATCCCTCAGATATCTCCCACATGCCTTCCCTTTGGGATCAGCTTATCTAGTTGTTCATAGAAGCTGCCTCCTGTTATGACTATATCTGAACGTCTTACTTTCTGTACCAAAGTCGTCAGCTTCTCATAGAAGTCTTGCTTTTCATCATCAGAACTGCAGACGGTGGCTGTGTAGGCAGAGATTATTAAAACGTCAGCTACTCTCACTATCTTTCCTAGTTCTTAAAGATACACTCAGTCAAACAGCACATTGATGGCTGCTGACTGGCATCCAGTCGACAATCACAGTTTTTCCTCTACAACCCAATGCGATGCATACTGCAGCGAGACCACGACAGCTGGCCATAGGGTCCAGAGGCACTCGTAACCAGAATTTTGAAGACAGCACGGCTAGACAGTCATCCACTAACGACATTCCGTATGCTATATGATGTGCATTGATGAAAAATTTACACTGATTTCTAGTCTT